GGAGAGCTTGTCGTTTTGGTGTTCATCACTGGAGTAGAAAGTCGGGCCGTGGTGACTGACTTGTAAAACACTAACCGAGAGCCGCCCTCTCTGTGGGCACTGTAGTGGGCACTAACTGCCCGGTCAGAACACCTCCTGGGAAGATGACGCTCAGAGTGTTAGTTACAGATTGACCCGGCTTCCGCTCCGACTCCCAGAAGAACGCTGCCCTTTCGCGCTTCTTGGAATCGCTCTGGAATTTCCCATCAGCCCTTCCTTCTTTTTCTGCTCCCTGGTGTTTCCTCACCTCTGCCGTCGTGTCCCCGTCTTTGTCTTTGTCTTCCTTCCTGCTCTGGCCCGGGGCCCTGGTGTTTCTCGGAGTGAATAGCGGTCAGCTCCTCTGTGGTCCGGCGCGGGACAGTGAGCAGGGCGAGCACAGGACCCCACGGCTGGGGTCTAGAACGGGCCGTGTGGGGTCTCGAGTCCCAGAACAGCGTTCCTCGTCTGTTCCACGGGGAGCCGTTTGTCTGTGGAACCCCGTCTCCCCCAGGAAACTCCTACACCCAGGTCACTGGAACAGCGCAGGAATGGTGGAAATCCAAAGGAAATCCAGTCGGACCCAGGGCAGCCCGGGTCCCATTCTCGCCAGTGATCATCTCCCCGATCTCCCCAGAAGCCCTTGGTGGAGCTGTTGCCAATGTCCGCTCTGGGCAGACCAGCACAGAAATGAACTTGGTTTGTTTTATCAAACGGTCAGATTTAAATTAGTTTCCCGTTTATCTCAAATCGGACTATAAACCACAGAGAGGCGCATTATTTTCTCGGCTCTTGCTGACCTGTCCCAGCCTGCTGTGTGATGGCCGGCCCTGCGCACGCAGCAGGAGCTGGCGCTCCGGGAACAAAGGGCGATTCTCTCGATCACCTGGGGCTCTGCTCTTGTAGATCACGGCGGCGAGTCGGAGCGAGTCAGGACTTGTCTGCGCCAGCTGCCTGTAACCAGAGCTCGTTTTTTATCAGGTGCCGTTTCACGCCAGTTAGTTGTGCAACCGGGCCAACCAGCCCATCCAGTTCCTGAGCCACTATTCTCTGACCTGTCTCGCGTACACAAGCCACAGCAGGAGTGAGAAGAGGGCTTCAGGCCACTGTGTCCTCTTCC